CTTGTAACAGCTCAACTACTACAGAGACTCTTCAGCTCTTCAACCAGCTTGTTATGAACCTGTGACAGAGCATGAAACTTGATCTTTGTCATTTTTTTAGCTGTCACATCAACAGAAAAATTACATTTGATTCCATTATTGCTCAGAAAGACACAGGTGAGCCCTCACACACTATAGCATCCTGAGACCATTTCTCTCCAATCTGCTTACTACAAGAGTTGAAGGGGAACAAGGCATTTGATTAAGTCTTTGCACTTGGATTACACGCCTGCAAGATCCTCGATTTATCAAAGATTTTTCCAAGAACTCATTAGGAGAGTACAATTGTTACTTCATTTCAATCAGTAAAGTGTAATTTAAGCATAACAAATAATCTCGCAAATTCAACAGAGAGAAAACATAGAAGCAGTTTTGACTGTTCCTAGATTAAAAGAAGTTGTAACATGTTTTAGAAGTTTAGCATACACAAGGCAAAACTGGGCACTAACTCAAACCAAGCAGGTGTTAGAAGCAAGATTGTTTTCCTGAAGACATGTTACCTTAAAGTGAGAAGAAACTTCTTTAAACACCTAAAGAAATATTGGCACAGACAAAACATTCAGATGCTGAAGGACAACACTAACAGTTTTACATAAAATTCTTTTCATTCATGTAAACTTGATGCTTGACACCCACCCTCGTATCAGCTCATCTCCCCTCCCCCAGACCTGAGGGCAGAGCTGGACTGGGCGAGCCACAGTCCTGGCTGGAGCTGAGCTCCCCCCACACACATCCAAGGGCTGTGCTCACTCACTTCAAACCCCAGCTGCTGTGGTATTGCCCCCTCTGCTCTGCACATCCCAGTAACAGAACACAAAAACATCGAGCCTTCAGCATTTCAAAGTGACACCTGAAGCTCTTTCTAGAAAACACAGTTGTAGCCAGCCCAGAATACCCAGCATCATTCCTCCAAAAACAACACTCAATCCCTTTTTCTGCTAGCTCCAATTCCCAAATAATTTCACTGAGTATGCCACATACCTGGTCTCATAGTGGGAAAGGGATGAGTAAGCACAGCAGAGGACAGATATGAAAGACAACAACACAGGAAAAAAACTATACAGTTGAAAAAAACTGCAAAGAAAAATACCAACAAAAGCTAATTCTGCACTTCCAGCCACCAAGCTGGCTGACAATTGTTAAGTGCTAATCAATAAACAGAAACTAAATATAATGGTTAGATCAAGCAGTTTTAATTTTAATTAAGTAGGAAGATGAATGTAATTTTGTTTATCTATAGTTAATGAGGCAACTATCAACTATCAATTTCCATTAAACTTAAAATCATGTATTTAAACAATCTAAACGGTAGGCAAACACTAAGAATAACTTCCTTAGGTGTTCCATACAGCAAATACCATTAAAATTCTGTTCATCAAACCCAGAATTAGCAGGCTGACCCTTTAATACAAAGGCAAAATTAAAAAAGTTTCACAGGAAACAAGATCCAGGAGAATTACACAGGTTGGGGAATGCAGACTAAAGGTTAATATCAAACTCATGTTTATAAGCAACTCGGTTGCTAGAGTTCTGCTACAGCTAATCAATAACTTCATCAAATGATCTGTGATTTCTCCTCAAGTCTACAGGTTGTCTACAAAGCTACCACTGGAAGTACAAGGCCAAGGTGTGAGCCTGCCACACAAGGGTCTTGAACAGTACATAAACCATTCCAGAGGGTGGAAAGCCAGGAAGGAACAGGCACTGCCAGGTACCCACTGCACCTACTGTTGCTGAAAAACTGGTGGGCCTGGCACCCAAACACTCTTGGGAAGTGTCAGTCTGTTCTTCAAAACTGCAGCACAAGAGGGACACATGCACGACTTTGTATTCAGAGAAAGGAATAACAAGCTGCAATGGCAGAACAAGCAACAGACTGGCAACAAGCCTTACCAAAAGAATCTGATGTTTGAAGTCTTTATCACAGGACATCGCTAAAAATGTGCTAAGACAAATATTCCTCAGGAATTGCCTGGGTGTACCAGATTTTGTTTTGGGACAGGAAGATGGAGGACCCAATCTCTTCATAACCCTTCCAGCCATAACTTTCTATCAGTCTACCCAGAACAAAAGATTAGCAAACCTTTTCCCATCCCTGGTTAGCCCTGAGATCACACAAGCAAAGACCAGCAGAGCCTCTCACCAAGCCTGTCATTAACTGTGACCTGTTCCTTTTCTACCTCAAGGACTTCCTTGTCCAGGCTACCAGTGCAAGAACCCCTCACACACTTGTCATTTTAAAATACTAAAACTCAAGCACCCGTGTTAACCCCTGAAAGGCAGGAATAGTGATGCCACTGACCTGCTTCCAGGTTCTGCTCCGGCCACATTTCAGGGACCAGAAGTTCAATCTGGGGTATGCAGGCTCTGCGTGGTGCAACCCATGTGAGGGCAAGAGGAAGTTCTGTTAATTCAGGGAGTTATTTATATGCATCCTTTAGGATGAAACAAGACCTTATAGAAGTTGCAAAAAAATCACTGTGTAAAACCCCAGAGACTCAGGCATTACTCAAAGATGGACCATAGAGGTAGCTGCTACCCTTGCACTAAAATTCAACATCAAAACCAGCCCTAACAAAGCTAATTCCATGGGACGGAATAATTCATTGAAGTCTTGGCTGGTTTTCTGACATTCAGTGGGGGATTTTACATCTTTCATACTCAGTATCTAAAATTTCTCTCTTCAGGCTTGCTGTGCCTTTCTCCCTAGCTGCTGAGAAGGAAGTAGCACTTCCACAGCTGCCTCCTCCTGCTACAGAGAGAGGATGCAGCAATGCTCTCTTCTCTATTGCTTCTGCTGCTCTTGCCTAATCTTCCTCTGCTCCCAAACCTACCATGGGCACATAGAAGGGGCACGTTGCAAGTTCCTTTTCTATTTTATTACTTCTCAGAACCAGACCAATGCATGCAAACAGCTCTCTGTCCACTGACTCCTTTCTTCTCCTTTACTTTGCAGCCACAGCTAGCAGTAAAACCACTCGCACCTCAGAAGTTTTGCCTTATAATTAACATCAGGAATTACCAGTCTTAAAGTATCAGACCTGCTAATAAGGTCTGATACCTTCTGCCTTGTCTCTCTGCAATGCTGATCCAGGTGCAAGAAAGCCTTTTCAAATCCATCACCCTGGCTTTGCAGCTCGCATCAACAGCAAAGAGCAGAGCACAGGAACACCAGGAAAACAGCACACAAATACGTAGCAGCAGGATTGGGGAAAAAAAAAATAAAACTAGTAGATTAAGTAGTAAGGGTATGAGGTGGGAACATAAGACTGGAAGACAGGCCAGCCCTACTTCCAGCAAAACTAACTGAGGAGGTCAGATAAAAACCCTTCTGCCTCTCACACCTAGAAGCCCTCACTTGGGAACTCGGCTAAATACAAAGATGGGAACTGTAGTTAACAAGGAACCACATAAATATTACTCACCACAGCTCTCACAAAGGTAGAGTCAGGGGCTGGGGGGAGCAAAATAAGGGCTTCTATTTGCCTACCAACAAAATCCTTTCAAAGCAGAGGAACACCGGGCCCAGGTCACATTTTATGGCTGATCTATTTGGGTTTCCAACTGAATTAACCAATACAAACTGACTGGCCAAACCCAGACATGTTCAGTCACAGCACACAAGTGGATCACCCTGAAACGATGCTGACTGTGGGCTTGTTTAGGCTTCTTCTCTGAGGAGCTCTGCCTTGCATTTAAGACCTCCAACTTTTGACTAAGCGACAAGAAAGAGCAGGCAATTTAAACACAGCATTGTCTTGTGTCAAGATACTAACACCCACTGGGTAAAAGCACAGCCATCAGCCACATACAAGCATGCACCAAACCGTATCAACAGTTCAAGCTTTAACTTAAAGTTGTGAGGTTTTTTAAAGCACTTGCACTGGCAAGCCTTTCTACACATTGCCTACTAGGTAAGTTGTGCAAAATTTTTAAAACCAGAACTTGTGTAATAAAATTACTTCCTCTAGCTAACTTTGAATTGGAGGAAAAAAGCTGCAAGAATGAGAATTCAATTGGCTTTTAGCTGCCTGGCAAATGCTCTAATAAGAAAGCCCGATGACCTACATTCACAAGGCTCTGTACTAAACCATTATTACAAAATCCAATATAAAGCCTGACCATGTTTAAGTGTTTTCCATTAGCAAGCAGCAGGACCTTGTTAGAGAAAGATGAAAACATGTTATTGTCTTTAGCAATGATGAGCTTAATTAATCCTCTAAACACTATTCTGAAACATGTCACCCTGATCATCCGGACTGTTTAAGTTCCCAATGTTACATACAGACACTGATACCTTTGCTTTTCAATTGTGCAATGGGATGTTAACAGGAACTTCCTAAAAATTCTCTGATTGTGCTGCAAAATTGAATTTATAACACTTTACATCTCTGATGCAACCAACAGCAATGCACCAGTGTTCAGAAACTGTCTAAATCCAAGCTAGCACCAGTACAGTTTCTGCTGACTCGGTCAGCACACTACCAAAATATTTCTTCACATAAAAACAGCTCTTGGCCAGCTCATCAGATAACCCAAAGCAGATGTTTTGAGATGTCCTTGAACAGATATCAAGCCAAACCCAACTGTGGTAAATATCCCCCAAAACAAGTGTCTGAACACTGGATATAATCAATTCAGTAAGTGTTTAAAGGAAATACTAAGGCCTTCCCTGTTCACAGTTGGAGAAGTCTGATACACTCAGCTTCAATTCACATGAGCCACTTCCAAACACATAACAAGTAACACAACTCGAGGAGAAATGCCCTACTTCAAAATAAAGAACTCTTTCAACAATGCATTATAAAGCAGGCAACTAGTCAGAGCAAGCAGTTTATGGTTAAAACAGAAAGGAAAATAAGGAAACGCCAGGACAACATAAATCCAAGAAGAGATTCTCAAAGGCACAAAATTACCATTAAAAAGCCACAGGGTCAGAAAAATCCAACTGCCTATGGTACCTTCAGGAACCCAAGACTCCACAGCTAGGGCTGACGTCATGGTATGTTGGATGTACCTGACACTGTTAGCAATGGCAATATTGTAGAAAAGTCACGTAACCAAGGGGGGGGGGGGGGGGAAAAAAAAAATCATGAAAAAAAGGAAATTTTAGTAAATTAAGAGAAAAAAAAATAAAGTGCAGAAAAAAAATAGGTCCACATAAAATCAGTGCCTTTCAGATTGCCTGAAAAGACACTACAGTTGAGGAGACTTAAAAGAAGGTTTTATTTATCTGAAGAGCACAGCAAGAACATGGATACAAAGCTACTGTCAAATTACCACGGAAGTACAAAGAGGTGCCTGATTCGCTGGGGCTGAATTGTGAAGGGACTACACATTCATTTCGGAGCACGTAAAACCTCCCAGGGCTCTGCAGCCCTCATCTCATAGCTCCAAGCACAGATTTAAGCTAAGCAAGCTGCAGGGATCCTTTCTAAACCAGTAAGACAGTTGCTACAATGCACAAGTTTAAAGAACCATAAAGAAAAACATCACTAGAAAAACAAATTATAAAAAGTTCGAATACTCTTTCTTTCTGAGGAAATACCTCCAAAAAGTTAAGGGAGACTTCTTCGCCATTGATTAAAATGATAAATTTGATTCTGTACATCTCCTGTACTGGCATGAATAAGATTTTCCCCATTTGCACCTTTTGTTTCAGAATCACCCACATACTACTTGATCTACTAAACAAGTGGATCTATTTGAGACAAGAGATTCACAACATTAAATGAAGCAAGCCAAAAAGTAAACACCACTGGCAAAAAGATATGAGGCCACCCTGAAGTGATGGGCTCCTTCCTGAGGAGAGGCATCACCATGGACAGCTCAAGCACCACACTCACCCGGAGCCTCCTAGTAAACAGGATGGATGAGCATCTTCCAAATGGAATTCAGAAATTCCTCATACAGCAAGGAATTCCAGCTGCATCACTACATCCAGCTACATTGCTTCACACTAGGCTCAGGAATACACATGGCTTAGGCAAATCCAAGGAATGCATATGGAGTTGCCATAGAGTCATCCAATTCTTCAGGTTTCAAAGCCTGTGGTGTATACTGAGCAGGCGAGAGTCAGGATTTGTTCGTAGGAAGGATGCCTCTGTTGGTGTGGCTACAGCACCACGAATCTCTAAAGCAGATACATCAGAGCACCAGTGGGAAAAACCTGTTTGCCTTAAAGAAGTAGACTTCACTGACAAACTTGTCTGGATCCATCTAGGATCAGCTGCTGACAGAGATTTGATATCAAACCACAGCAACAAACGTTCTGCCACAACAGAGGGAAAATGTCATTTTCCAACTTCTAGGGGGCTATAATGCTCAACATCTGAGTTCTGGGTCAAATCTACCTACCCACCCGTGAAACTACATGGACAGCTCTGAATCTCTGCTGAAC